AATTTGGATATTTCTCTCCAGCGTGAGTGACATCCTCTTCTAGCCGAATGCTGTTCTTGTTTATTTATTATCTGTACCGCAAGTGAAACAGTCAAACACCACTTCTCGATGGTTCAGCTGTACAATTTTTGCTATTTTATAGTAATTGGATTCCTTTGGACCCACTAGGAACTGTATATTGTACATTATGTATGTACATGCAATATGAAGTGCAGCTGTATTTTCGAACGCAAGTTCGCACGTTATGTTTTGGTTAAAAGATCGTGGACCCCTTGTTTCAATAAGCTTTTTTAATTACGCGTGAGGAAAGTAAACAGCGCAATGCAAGGTCTTTCTGCTCCGCAAAATTAAATGTAAATATTAAAGCTTAATATCGCTCTATGCAGCTACCTACTAAAATGTATAAATGTACTCGTTCTCCTCAACTTTTATTTAAATTACTGACGAACTTTGGACTGCTCGTCGAAATTATTATTCAATTTACTTTGGTACGATGTACCTACTTAATTTATGTATTTTATGAACAGATTTAAGAAGAATTTTTCACTAAATCTTTGTATTCTTCAGTATTATAATAAATAAAATAATATTGTTTAATAATGTATTTACTACCAACAAATTGAAAATTGTCTTGGACGCAGAAACAGGAGTTCGGAGGAGTAGAGAGTGGGAAGCTATAGTGTTAGGGGCATGCAAGGAAGAGCTTAGGATAGAAGAACGCGGAGGTGCGTATCCAACCAGTCTTAGGATTGACGACGTAATTATGATGAAATTCACTTAGCTATGTATCTAAATTCTTTTCTTTTACAGTAAAATTAAATTTATATGACAATGCAAAAATTACAGTTTTCAATTATAAATGACTGAATTTGCCGTAGAAATATTAGAATTTTGTAGGTAACTTGTAATAATCTCAATTTTCTTAATTATTACAATTAAATTTTTAATATCAACTAAATTAAATACTTAGTAAATTTATTTCTGCTGGGATTTTATTTTTACAAATTCGACTCCAAATTGTTCGTTTGATTACTAAGCAACGACCTAGTGGGACAAATTGTAAATATCGCTTTAATATTCAGGTAAATTTTCGTTTTTCATTTTCTCCATAATTGCTAATACACAGAATTTCAAAAGACATTTTGGAAGACAAGTTGGTGAAGACTCTCGCGGCCAGTGGATGACCTAATGCTGTTCTGATTCAGGTCGAAAGGTCGTCATGTGTTGAAGTTGTTTCCTAACGTTTCGCTAACACGAGTGGCAAGCGTCTTCTTAAGAGGTTCTTTCAACTCCGACGCTGGATGCAGATTCAGTTGAAGATGAAAGGACTCCTGAAGAAGCTCGCTAATTGTACTAG